GGGGGGGACATGTCCCCCCCGTCCCCCCCGCTTCCTACGCCTATGCTGACCGGTATGGGGTCCATCAGTTCACAGTTAGCCGGATCATCACAGCATGGACCGATTTTTTCTTTACAGTACTTGGCTTAATGAGGATCTTTATATCGGAGGACCAGAAGCTTAAAATTCTACATGCAGACTTTACAGTCATCCTGGACTGAGCTGAGCCCGTCTTCCCCTCTCCTCCAAAGTGTCGTGTTTTCATCACCAGTAAAGCCAAACAAGTCTGACATTTGAGTAACTGCTGGGAAGTATATTGTATATTCATTGTTCATTTTGTTATCCTGTTTGTACTTCCAATAAAATTGAATCTGTGACTCTGCATTTCACAAACCCGTTCTCCCTTATCTCAATGTTTACATTTTATGAAGTATTTGCATGTAGATTAGGAATTCAAGTGGTATGTAAAACTGCAACACTTTCAAGTAATACCAGCAAAGAAATACGAATATTAAATAATATGTAGTTAGTCAAATAAGTTAATATACTGACTAATGCTGAATAATCTCACTTGACAGAGTTTTGTCATGCTAAATTTGATTTTAATCACCCCAAATTTCTTTTCTAAAGAAAATAAACAATACAGAACATACTTTCAAAAAAGTGGCATTACTTCAATCATCCCTTTCGTGGGTTGAATGGCCTGGAGTATCATGGCCAGGCTAAGAGAATTTTTAATTACAAGAATGCAGTCTTATTAGCAGAATAAAGATGCAATTTTACCAGAACATCTTAGGATACAAGAAGTCATTTTAACGAGGAAAAAACTTATTTACCTTGATCTGTCGAAACCAGCTCAGTAAATGTGAACCACAACACGTTTGTTGTTGTTGTTCAGAAGACGGACATTGCCACCACAACTGGACAGGTAAGCATTGATGCAAGAATAAAACTTCACCACAGCATCCATCCATCCATTTTCTTACACTGTTATCCCACTGGGGTCAGGATGGGTGTTGGTGCCTATCTCCAGCTGTCAATGGGTGAGAGGCAGGGTACGCCACAACATCTTATCCAATTATCACATTTCACTCCCTGAATAATGAGGTTAGGAAACTGGCAGGAATCAAATATCTTTAACATGAGGCTTGTCTGATTGGTGGCTATCTCTACTGATGGTCCTGTAGCAACAAAGCTTATTGGATCCAACAAACTACAGCACTTATGAAACTATGCCACACATTCACTTGCCTAAGACCCAGGGACTTATTGTCATCACAAGTTATATTTTTATTATCTCTGACCAGCACAATTGGATTCATAACTTAATATAATTCTATTTCCTAATCATATGACTGCTTACAATTTGCATGTGAGTTTATTGTAAATAGAAAATATAAATACATAAAATATTATAACTAAAAACATTAAAGAAACTGACTTACAGAAAAATAGCTAACCAAATACATCTGGCCCTTCAAAGCAACACTTTCCTACTGGCCATCTCTGACTAGACACTTGGTGGTCTCTCCATCCTCATGTTTTAATCCTCTCTAGGAGCTGGAGGAATTGCTCTGTTCAGTAATTCCTGCAAGCGCTGTCCTGCTTAAGCTGGACTCTGCTGGTCATACTAGAAATGGGAATTAGGAGAACACCAATTTAAGTTCATAACATAACACAAAAGCATTACATATACTGAACAAAAATATAAACACCCCATGACAACTATTGTTGTCATGTGGAGTTAACAACTGTAAATGAGCATTTGCTGACATTTTATTGTACAAAAGTAATATTTCTTTCGATTTGTGTATAATTTTTAGTCCAACTTGCTGTCAGTGAGCATTACTCAGAGTTGATTTTTTACTCAGTGCATGGATGGGGCATGTCCACTGGGTGATCAGAGAAAATGAGCAACAACTGGACAATCCTTGGACTGGGGACAAGAAAAGGCCGTCCCAAAATATCAAATTTTGTCACAAGTCACAATGCTTCAGATGTCACAAGTTATGCTGGAGCATGGCATTGGCATGTTGGATGCAGGGGTGTCCACCGTAGCAGTAGCTGCATGGCTCAATGTCCACTATCGGACCAAAGGCTGTTTGAGAGTTTCCAACAGACTGGCACTACTGCAAATCGACCTCATCCTCATCGGCCACATGTGACCTCTCCAGCACAAGATCGCCACATCCGGCTCGTCCATCTGCAGGATCGGCTAAGAACAGCGACACACACAGCTGATGAGACTATTAGTCTGCACAACAGACGCATCACACGTCAGACTGTCCATAGCCACATACGAGAAGCCAACATGGTCAAACTCTAATTCCTCAACCTGACCCCTATCATGTTCAAAGGACTATCAATCCACTACAAATGGCCATACTACAATGTTGTCAGTGCTGATATGAAGATAAGTAATTACTGAAAATATATTTTGAGTTTCTATATATAACTAACATAACCCAAATGTTCATAAAACTCTTATATTTTACATGGGGCCTTAATATTTTGTTCAGTGCATAATTTGGAATAAAACTAAATACAAGACTTAAACACACTAACACTAATAAAAAAAAGACAGAAACAAAAAATAAAATAAAGTGAACATTAATGTTTTCACTACATGAGACAAAAATGAGCGACTAATTAAAAACAGGGTTTTTTTGGGGGTTTTTCCGCCTTCTAGCTCTCGGTGAAGGCGGACACATTTTTCCTCTGCTCCCCTCCAAACTCATTCTCACCATGCTTACTGTCATGATCGTGTTTCTGTGTATTTGTTTTTGGAGTTTTTTGTGTTCAGTTTGCTCCCTGTGTCTCTGTCTCTGCGTCTTACCCGTTGATTGTTCCCAGGTGTGTCTCATCCCCTTGATTACCCCGTGTGTATTTTAACTCTCTTGTCGGATCCTCATCTAAAGTCTGTTTCCCTGTGCCGCCTCTGTTGGACTTTATCATTAAAACAAATCATCTTCATCTACACCTGGGTCCTGCGCCTTCCCTCACCAAAAACCTTGAATCATGACACTTGCTCTGTTTTTGTGTTGCTTTTTTGGAGCCTTTCTTTGCACATCCTCCGGATCTACAAATTATGGAATTGATAAAGTGGTCTCTCAATGCTATTGATCACATTTTCTCAACAAGAAGACTGGGCATGGGAGAACACACTTGTCCTGCCGGACCACCCCTGGAGGGATACATCCTGGATTTATTTGGATTCATGATAACAGAATTTCTGCTGTTTGGAGTTGGCGGATACCTGGCATATTGGCAAATTTATGATGGATTGGGCCAACTAGTGAACACTCAGACTGTCATGCTGCGAGACAGAAGCTCAAGTTGGATGCGATTCTTTCGCAGGCAAACTTTGGATGCTAAAACTCACTAGCGGGATGGAATCTTTCTTGGAGAAGTTGCTAGTTCCGGCCCTGTAGGAACAACCACACTAATTTGGATGATTGGAATTAACAGAGATTTACCGGTTGAGACGCCCTAGCGTCAACAAACATTACAACAGAATAAAACAGCCGATGGAAATTTTAAGTCTGCCCGATCGGATCTAAAGAGAATTTGTCTATTCTGAATTTGGCTCCCTTGTGTCAGCCTCGATTTGCTGGCCTACTTGAATCTCCTGGACTTTATATAAACAAACTTCTCCTTCCCACACCCTCACACCTCCTGAAGTCTCCTGTGAGATCTTATGGCTGAACTCTCAAGGACTTGCTCTTAGATAATACCACGTTTGGGAGAACAGGCTGTAATGAGACATTGGCTAATCTGCAAGCACTTCATAATTACAGACAAACACACTCCCTGATCTCAACTTCTTTGCCAGCATATCTTTGTATGCTGGCAAACAAAGATATGTTGTTTGCCAGCATACAAAGATATGCAATAAATGATTTGTCATTTTTTGCCCTGTCTGTCTAGTTTATTATTACTTTTAGAAATTGTGGAGCATGAATATTTAGCTTATTATTGTCCAGAGAAACTCCTTCTAGCTTATAAATGAATGGGTACTTATACTTGTAACAGGAACATCTAGTTTATATATTCATTCATCCCAGAACAGGAATTAAACCTATAGTAGAACAAAAGATCTAGAGGATTTCATTCAACCCAGGAATTAGAATTAGAACACACTTAGAATCCAGAGAAACCCCTACTAGTTTATAAATCACAGACTACTTATTCTTAAACACGGGGTTATAGTTTTTTCTTTTTTCTTCTTTTTTCTTCTTCTTTTGCTCTTCTTTTGGTTTGTTGTTTTGTTGTATTCCAAAAGTTTTGACCACAATTTTATTTTTTTAAATTGAGATTAGGTTTTGTTTGAATAATTGTAAAACAAATTTACCTCCATACATTTATGCATATATTAATAGTAGATACCTTAAAGTGGGTGCCAAAAACATAAAACAACAAAAATATTGACATTATAATCCAATATTACATAAGGGTAATAAAGGTATTTCAATCTTTGATCTCAGTAACTGGTGTGCATCATATTGGACGAATTCCTCCTTTGGTTTTACTGTTTACTGTTTTACTGTTTAAATGTGGATCCATGCATCTTTCCTGTCAAGCTTAAAGATTTCATCTTATCAATCTGCAGATCAGCAACAATTTTCTGCCCATAACGCAGTGCTGTAGGGCAACATGAAAATATGTTTAATTATTCAGAAGTTGATCTGGGTTTCTTTCTGGAACATTGCAAATTAATTCAATTCTGTGGTAATGTTTGTTGGGTGGACTCATGAGTGGTGAGTAAAAACCCTCTTAGATTCCAGCTGTGCAAAACTTGATTGATTGCTCAGAGTTCAAACTCTTTATATATAAAAAAACTTTCATCATTCCAGACAGCCTATGAAATTAATGCTTTAATTGCTGTCTTTTACCTTAAAAATAAGACCCACCTACACTCAAAGATTATTCCATCGAACATTTTTTTCTAACTTCATATTCAATCTAGCTGCTGATCCGAAAGACTCGCATATATATAATGATCATTTTACAAATCATTTGAATGAATCATGAAGTGCAATGTTTAATTGTGATATGCAGTTACGCTGCAAGATTAGATAAAATCATCTTTGCAGATGACTCAAATGAACACAAATCTTCAGGATTCTCAAACCTTTACATAATCATGTTTCCCTGAAGGATGAACTGTAGTTTTCAGTGCAATCAGATTCCATCTAATGTTACGTTCAGGCTGAGCTTTTCCTCTACACAAAAAGCCGTAGAGAAACTGTGGATGTTCCAGGTGAAACACTAGCTACATTGCTGATCAGCACAACAGGAAAAAACTATGTACACCCTTGCAGCTTCCATAGCTTTTAAGAGTAAAACTAAAAGTGTAGTCCTTTCTTTCTTTCTTTCTTTCTTTCTTTCTTTCTTTCTTTCTTTCTTTCTTTCTTTCTTTCTTTCTTTCTTTCTTTATTTCTTTCTTTCTTTCTTTCTTTCTTTCTTTCTCTCTCTCTCCCTCCCTTCACTTATCTGGAGTTGGGTAGCAGTATAAGTAGGGAGACTTCCCTCTCCCCAGTTACTTGGGCCAGCTCCTCTGGGGAAACCCCAAGGCGTTCCAAGGCCAGCCAAGAAACATAGTCCCTCCATTGTGTGTCCTGGGTCATACAGGAGGGACCCAGGGTCGTGCCTGGAACACCTCACTAGGGAGGCGTCAAGAAGGCATCCTAACTAGATGCCAAATTCACCTCAACTGGCTCCTCTTGACATGCAGAAGCAGTGGCTCTACTCTGAGTCCCTCCCAGATGACCAAGCTTCTCACCCTATCTCTAAGGGAGAGCCCAGCCACCCTACAGAGAAAGCTCATTTCAGCTGCTGTATCCATGTCCTTGTTCTTTTGGTCATGACTCAAAGCTCATAACAATAGATAAGGGTAGGAAGGTACATTGACCGGTAAAACAGGAGCTTCACTTTTTGACTCAGCTCTCTCATCACCACGAGAAACCGGTACAGCGCCTGCTTCACTGCAGACACTGCACCAATCCGTCTTTCGATCTCCCACTCCATTTTTCCCTCATTCGTGGACAAGATCCCCAGATACTCAAACTCCTCCTCTTGGGGCAGGACATCCCCCCCAGGATGTCCCAGAGAACGCACTCTACCCTTTTCCAGTTCCTTGGATTTGGAGGCACTGATCCTCATCCCGGCAGCTTCACACTCGGCTGTGAACCGCTCCAGTGAAAGCTACTGGAGATCACGGCCTGATGAAGCCAACAGGACCACATCATCCACAAAAAGCAGAGATGCGACCCTAAGGCCACCAAAATGGATCCCCTCAACACCTCGGCTGCACCTGGAAATTTTGTCCATGAAAGTAATTAACAGAAGCAGTGACAAAGGGCAGCTTTGGCGGAGTCCAACTCTCACCGGAAATGAGCCAAATTTACTGCAGGCAATGTGGACTAGACTGTGGCACTGGTCATACAGAGACCTATAGCAACCTTTATCAAAGGGCCTGGTACCCCATGCCTCCGGAGAACCCCCCACAGCGCTCCCCAAGGGATATGGTGGAATGCCTTCTCCAAGTCCACATGTTCACATGTAGACTGGTTGGGCAAACTCCCACGGACCCTCCAGGACCACGCTGAGAGCCGGTCCAGTGTTCCACGACCAGGACAAAAATCACACTTCTGTTCCTGAATCCATAGTTCAACTATCCGACGGACCCTCCTCTCTAGGACCCTTGAATAGACCTTGCTACGGAGGCTTAAGAGTGTGACCCCTCTGTAATTGGAACACACTACCAACCCAGTCTGCCAGTCCAGGGGAACTGCCCCCAATGTCCATGCAATATTGCAGATTTGGGTCAGCCAACCCAACCCTACAATATCCAGAGCTTTAAGGAACTCCGAGTGAATTTCATCCACCTCTGCAGCCCTGCCACCAAGGAGCTCTTTGATCACCTCAACACCAGAGATTGAAGAGCCCGTTCAAAAGTCGCCAGGCTCCACTTCCTCAATGGAAGGCATGTTGATGGGACTGAGAAGGTCTCCAAAGTATTCTGTGTTAGGTTGATTGAAAGGCTGCGGTGGGAAGTGCACAAATAACTGCAAACCTCAACAAACTGAGGCACACAGAAAGTGACTGCTGAGACTTTGTGCTACTGAAAGTGCTTCCACAACTGTTGACTGGATTAGGTCAAATTGGGATTTGATCCGACACTGGCTGCTAAATTTGTTATATCTAAGAAAATGAATGCCTTATTAACTGTTAAGAAGCGGGTAAAATTGAAACGTATTAAAAGATAAGATTATAAATCTATTTTAGATATAGCTAAGCTGCTGTCCAGACTGTTTTTTGTCTTTCTCCAAAATTAGATGAGAACTTATGAAGCTTCTGCAGGAGTCCTCCATGCAGGTATTCCAACTCATCAGTGAGGCTCACTAGTGCGTGTCATTTTATCCATGATCCCTTCCTGCCTGCTCATGCGCAACAATTTCTTTGAAGTACCTCATTGCTGTGAGGGATCAGTCCCTGCTTTTTGCTGAGGTGTCCGAGTATCTTCTTCTTCCTCCACCCCCCTCCACTTCATATGTCAGTTTTTCTATTACCTGATTAAACATCTCCACCCCTCCTCTGATGAGGCACAGCAAATCACGAGTGAATTGCATTAGAATGAACAAGCAACTTTGAAGTTCATCAGGGCTGGATCCAGGTTCTGACTGTGCATTTATGTTTTCGTTAAAATGAAATCTGACTCTACTCCAGGTGTTTTTGATGTCTCCTGTTGGCTTTTAAAGAAGTCCTAAGCATCAGCTGAAAAAGGCTTAGGGGCCTTTGCATTCTGCTTTATTTCTATATTTGTTGGCATGTTTACATCTTTCGCTCTCTTGATGTTTGCTGTTCATGTCTCACTTTCTGTGTGTCATATACCTTATATATCTGTTTGTGCGTCATGTGTCCGTCTATAGGTGGGGAATCTGGGTCTGCTCTTCATGTTGCTGTTCTTCATCTATGCAGCTCTGGGAGTTGAGCTCTTTGGAAAACTGGGTTAGTGTGTGTGTGTGTGTGTGTGTGTGTGTGTGTGTGTGTGTGTGTGTGTGTGTGTGTGTGTGTGTGTGAATTTGTCTGTGAGTGCACGTGAGTGTGTGCATGAATATAAAGCCGGTGTTGAATCGATAATGAGAGTGTGCCTCAGCTGACACTGGTGTCATTTCTGTGGATTGCATAACAAGAACAAATTTTTGTTGACTTGCAAACATTAATTATGACAATCAGAGCTCCAATTTACAAAAAACTAATTTTCTTCTCCCTCCTTTCTCCACTTTCCCACATTTATCACCTGTAATGTTTTTTTTCGTCCTCTTTTAGAGTGTTCAGACGAGAACCCTTGTGAGGGTCTTAGTCGGCACGCCACCTTTGACAACTTTGGCATGGCTTTCCTCACACTCTTCAGGGTTTCCACTGGAGACAACTGGAATGGGATTATGAAGGTTAGATCTCTTTGCCCCTTTAAGGATTTAGGATAAAATGCAGAGTGCATGATTTGTGCCCATGCACATTTCTGAAAGTGAGGCAGGCGGTGCATTATGCAGAGAGCACATCACTGTTTTTATGACAAAATAGGAGTTGCTGACATTAAAGCATGGATAACTCCTCTGTGACAGACACACACTGGAGTTCATGTTCAGTTCACCATCTCCCCCTGTTGGAGAAGGCTTGTAGCATGTCACTGTTCTTTAATACCCGTTTATCTATCTCAACTTAGAATATTGTAAAGATTTTATTTATTTTAGTAAAATAATCAAAAATGTAAAACTCCTATGTTGACTGACACACACCAACAAATTTCAGGCGCTTACATCAGTTAATTCTGATCATCATCCGAGAACAAAAATCCAAAATCTGCTTAAAATATGACAATATGAAAATATGAAAGTTAAAATATGACATAGGTCTCGGTCTCACACAATGATAGGGATGGCTGGAGATTTGAAAGTCAAAGACAAAACCCACAAGGAGAATACACCATAAAAAGGCCATTGTTACAGACGTGGGCTTTTTGAAGAGTGCTACATTGAAATCTATTAATGGAAAGTTGAATGAAAAAAAAAACAATGTGGTAGAAAAAGGTGCAAAATTATAGCTGCAGCCTTAAGATGATTGTGAAGCAGTGCTGTAAGAGTTTAAGAGAGAATTGTGCAACAATAGGTTTGGTTTGGCTGTATAATTAACTATTACATGCCAAACACAGTCATCAACAAACTCTCTTTGTTGTTAAGACAGACCCGCCAAAGAGGATATTAATTAATATTAAAATTACCAGGTAACTTCCTAATGATCATGAATTAATAACCAAATGTTCTGTCTCTGCTAATAACTGTTCTATGAATACTTGCCTTGTGGTGTTACAAAAAAATAGATGGAGTGAATTTACGCAATGAGGGTCTCAATTAGCAACCCCTGCATAATATGTATAGAATGCACAAGAAACTTTTTTCCAAAATAAAATAATTTATTTACAAAATACTCTAACGTCAAGTAAAATACTTCAGTAAATAAACTCCTTAAGAAAGCAAGCAACACAACAAAGTAAAAATGAAAAGAATGATGAAAACTAATAAGCTACAGCAAAAAATGGAGAAAAAAGCACAGCTGCATGCTGTTCAAGCAACCACTTCCCAGTGCAAAGCAGAAGAGAAATAATAATAAAATTGTATTTAAAAATAATTTGCTGGATTAGAAATCATCCATCCATCTATCCATCCATTTTCTAACACCCTTGTCCCTAATGGAGTCAGGACAGTTGCTGGTGCCTATCTCCAGCTAACATTCCGGGCGAGAGGCGGGGTCACCCTGGACAGGTCGCCAGTCTGTCACAGGGCAGATTAGAAATCAATACATTTAATAATTGTCTAAATTGGATAGCAGTCTAATTTGGACAATCAAATGCTTGAAATGTTTATGGATGGTAAGCAAACAGCAGCTTTGATTGTGTCATACCTGGGATAAGCGGTTCAGCCTAACAAGAAAGTTGTCTTGAGGGCGATATTTGGCAACTCTCTAAAGTCCCACATGTACCTCTAAGTACCATTAATACCACTTTTAATGTGCTTATGATCACTGTAACGTCCCACAAGCACTGCAGAATTGATGTCATCTTAGCATTAGCAGAGCTTTACAACTATAACTGAGGTAATTGAGACACAATTCAACCTATGAATAAGCGCGTTTTTTTATGCGGGTTAGTGAGAGGAAAGGAAGAAAAACACCAATAAAATTGTGTTTTTCTTCACTTTACACCTTTCTGGAGTAAAGTGACTCTTTAATGTACCATCTGATTGGACTGGTGAATGCAAGCAGCACACTGAGCTGGAGATAGAGACAACACTGACATACAGTCTTGTCTCAGATTAGTAGAGAAGTCTCTTTGTTGATGTAATTAGAGACACAATTTCTTCTTAGGGAATCTATAATTCTTTCAGATTCTTTTCTACAGGAGATGAGACAAACCAGGATCAGAGTTTTGGCTGACTATGCAAGCAACAGACTGTAATTAACTTTGAATCCAAGGTTTCTTCGAAGATGCTGTCTTTTACTCAGCCAGTGAGGTCCAGAGTCATTGGCATGTTCTCTGCTGGTCAGAGGTTGCTGCAAGTAAAGAGGAAGAAATTTAGCTCTGTTCATGTTTTATACCTCTATAACAAATAGGGATTCCAGCTGTCACTCATCCTACCTTGGAGTTGTCATAAAAGTGGGTTAATGATGTGCATTCTGGGATTCTGAGTTTTTACCAGTCTCTTTGGTTCTCTGTAGCCCTTTTTGCACTTGAGGGTCTAGCCTGGCCCAGCCCTGCTCCATTCGACCCGGTCCCATTGGTCCTATAGCCCTGGTCGTTTTGAATTGAGCGGGATCGTCAAGCTACCGAGGCGATCTCCCCAGTGACCGCAGAACAGTTTCTTTCTTGGGTCTCCCATCCAGCTCCTACTATATGCGCTTGTCAGCAAGTAAGCTGAGGGAAACATTTACCACAGCTTTACATTTAACCAAAAAAAAAAAAAAAATCTCATCGGAGTGTGGTCTCTGAGCTGGACTCGCGGCCAGCTGAAATACCGCTGCGACTTGCGGGATTTTGATGTCAGATGCGAAAATCCCGTCGTTTACAGCCTTACCGACTTCAATTGGAGAAATGTTATTTACATTTAGCATTAAATTAAAATATTTGGCGGAAGAGGCGATTGTAATCCCAGTCAGTGTAACACAGAGCGGAGATTCATCATTCAGATCAACATCAAAACCCTGAGATTATGATTATGTTCAACTGATACAGACCAGGAATTTGAGATATTCATTCTAGATACCGCAGATAAATAGCTCATAATTTAGGTACAAACATAACATTTTATTATTTATATCCAGACTATAGTGGATATAGTGATATAGTGAGTGGTCCCACTATAGTCAAAGGAGAATAAAAATACAATTGAATATTCTGTTACTATTATCATTTAAAATCTTACGGTTAAGAATAGATTATGACGGCAATATTTTGACAACACATTTTAAAATGACAGACGTTCATCTGACCCAGAGATCTGGAAGACGATTCGTCTTTGTCCCGCCCCCGCAGCCCATGCACCAATCAACGGCTAACTCCAAACCAGCCCGGTCTGGCCGGCCCTATTGGAACCGCAGCTCTTATGATCAGTAGGGGGGATCATGACAGAAAATAATTGAGAAACACTGCTCTAAGGTGTGTTGAAGCAAGCTGCATAAAATCAAGCTCCTCTGCCTTCTTTCTATCTAGAAACAACCAATCAGAGCCAGGAATTATGTGTTTCATAACATAATGTCACAGCATGGTGACAGTTTTATCAATTATGTAAAAAAAACAAACATAATTTTCATAAAAGTTACACATTGCACTTTTAAAGCAACCTGGACTTCATTAACACCTCTGTGACCTCCTTTATGCCACGCTGAGTTGATTCAGTAAGACAGTCCAAAACAAATATTGCATGCAAATATTTGGGCATACTTTTCATTAGGTTAACATTGCTGTATTAAAAATAAAAATAAAAATTCGGTTTTGTGTATTATTTGTTCAAATATATCAACATGTTTAATTAATTTATATAACATGAGCTTACTATTTTGAATTACTAAAATATATGTCTCGATCTATTTTTTTATTGAGATGGACCTCAGTTTATTTCATTATCCTCTCCTTCTTTCTCACCTCCTTGTTCAGGACACACTGCGAGAGTGCCGCCCAAACGATCGCCACTGCCTCAACTATCTGCCCTTGATCTCCCCTGTCTACTTTGTTACCTTTGTCCTCACGGCCCAGTTTGTTTTGGTCAACGTGGTGGTCGCCGTTCTGATGAAACACCTGGAAGAAAGCAACAAGGAGGCTCAGATGGAGGAGATGGAGGAGAGGAGAGAGATGGAGGAGAGGAAAGAGAAGGAGAGGGAGGAGGTGGCCCGGCGCCTCAGCTGCACATCTGAGTTGGAGATGAACATGGGCACACCTGTCCAGGTAACATCCATGTTCCCTGGATGTAGTTGGTGAAAGAAATTGGGGGTGGTAGTTACAATGACAGAGGCATTGATCTCATCGGCCAGGTACAAATGGAAGACAAGGAGTGTTCCCATGGAAACCTGAGGAAAATGGGACGAATGCTGTCGCTCCCCAACGACACTTGTGTCCCACCTCTCAGATTCTCCTCTTACACTCCCATTGGGCATGAGTCCGTTTGCAGCTACAGCTACTCAGGTAATTAGTTTTTTTTATGGCAACCTAATTTGTGAAAGAGCTTTTAGAGGCCTCCAGCCACTACAAGGACTGCTTCCAAGATTATTGCTTCTGTAAACAGCTTAGATGTAATGTTGTGTAATAGGAAAGACCATCATTGCAGCCATAAAGAGGCATTTAAGAGATGTTTAAGATTCAGGACACAATATTCATATTTATTCCATCTAAATTTATATTTCATTAAATAAATTTCAGAAGCCTGGGTTGTTTTTGTGTTTTGATTATTTAATAATAATAATTATCTTTATTGTCATTATAAAACCATGCAATGGTTTACATAGGTTATAATGAAATTAATAAAAATACTGCTTCAGGGTATTTAATGCCCTTATGCCCTTTAATGCCCTACCAGGTTTAAACTGTTCTTCAGTCTGTTTGTTGCTTTAATGCTCCTGTACCTGCAGCCAAATGGCAGCAACTGGAACAAATTGTGACCGGGGTGTGAGGAGTCTTTTAAATATTCTTGGCTTTCCTGAGGCAGCAGGACCTGTGGAGATCTTCAAGAGAAGGCAGAGAGCAGCCAATGGTCTTCTCAGCAGATTTTATGATTCTCTGGAGAGTCTTCCTCTGTGCTGCTGTGCAGCTGGGGAACCACACACGGAGACAATAGCAGATGATGCTTTCAATAGAGCATTGATAGAAGGACACCAGCAGTTTTTGAGAAATATTGTTTATCCTCAGGACTCTCAGGAAATAGAGTCTCTGTCTCTGCTGGACCTTCTTTGCCAGTTCAGCTGTGTTTACATCCCAGGCCAGGTTATCCATTATGTGAACTCCCAGGAAACGGAAGTTTGACACCCTCTCCACAGGCTCGCCGCAGATGTTTAGTGGTTGAATGTCTCTTTTAATTCTCCTAAAATCCAGTATGATCTCCTTGGTCTTGGCTGTGTTTAGGATCAAGTTGTTGTCAGTGCACCATTCTGTCAGTCGCTCCACTTCGTTCCTGTAGGCAGACTCATCGTCCCCTGAGATGAGGCCCACTACAGTTGTATCATCTGCAAATTTAATGAGGGTGGTACTTTGAAGAACTGAAACACAATCGTGTGTGTACAGCGTAAAGAACAGAGGGCTCAGCACACAGCCTTGAGGAGAGCCAGTACTGATGTTGATGGATGAAGAGGTATGGGGGTCCATTCTGACTTTGTTTGTGATTCGTCAGGAAGTCCTTAATCCAGCAACAGGTGGAAGAGGGGATTCCCAGGTCTGCCAGTTTACACACTCAGGGGCGCTGCCAGGAATCGTGGGCCCCGTGACAAAAAATTTGATTGGGCCCCCCGCGCAGCTGCTGTTACAATTTTTTGAGTCTATTTGACCCATAAAAAAGTCACAATTTTAAAGGCTTGCATCTGCCTTGCTTTCTTTGGTTCAATACTGATAATTAGCACAATATTTACTGCTCATGAATTTAACATCCAACAGTCCACATACAGTTTGCAAGTAGGTTGCTTACATTTTTTTTTATTAGTTTTAGATACTGAAATGTCTCTCCATGAGCAACAGTCAAAAGCAACGTGCAACTACACATGAAGCAATCCAGACTTCTCCAAAATGCTGTGTAGTTGCATTTTATTCAAGCTGCAGTACATAACTTTAATAAAAAATATGTTTTCTCCACATTTGTTAAAGCTGTCA